AGATTATACTTATCCACAGATGCATTGGTTCTTTAATTGCTGTGTGGATTTCAGAAACTGGTTAGTTATCTTTAAAACCCTGTTGCCTTAGGGCCCAGTTATGTGTCTATATGGAGATAATAGAATGAGCAGAATGGTATCTTAGATCAATTTGACTAGGTAACACCATTCATCATAGATAGTAAACAAACCAAACTGCACTGAAGAGTTTAGAGGATTGCCCTGTAAATACTAAATGTTCTTTATCTAAAGGATTGAGCACTCCTGCAGCAGAGGTTTTGCACTCCAGTTGTGACACTTAGCCCACAACCTTTACATTTTGTGCTGTTGAAGGTTTGTGACATATTGCTTTTATATTATTTTTTTGCCAGCTGAGCCTGTCCATTTTATATTGCATTCTTTGACATTCTGTAATGGAGTTTTAATATAGGCTTGTGACAAGCATTTCTAACCTATCCTTAATAATATGTAATTCAGGGGTAGGTAGTCATTTTGAGCTACAAACTCATTTGGGGTTTAGAGAGCATGAGGGAACTGGTCTGTTTATTAAATGGATGTCTCACTGGGACAGTTATAAAATATCCATAAACCAGAAAGTGCATAAGTTCTTCAGAATGCTTTGTAGTTTCATATAGAATTTTTGTGTTACCTAAAGGTATTGCCTCAAATTAAGTAGTAGGAGATAATGCTCTGTTTTGTAGCTTGGTAACTTCTAATTTTTAAAAAAACTAAAAAAAAACCCTTCAGAAAAGTAGAGCTGGGCTATCTCCTGCTAAACTTTGAGAGTATTAAAAATATAAATATAAATGCTTATAGATAAATAGCATAAATGAGGGATCTTTTGTTGTAATTTGGTTCCAAATTCATTGATACAGAGTTATATAGAAGTTTAAATTTGTTAGAGTTTTATTGAGCACAATAATAATTTACTGCTTTTGATAGAAAGACCAGACCAACAGTCATAGATCAGAGACCATTACAATTTTTATACAAATTAATAGTCAATAAAGTTATTACCTTGATTCATCGTTATTACGGTTCAAGAAGCATCTTAAATTACATTGTTAGGTAAAACTGGGAGGAAATTATGATTGATTAGATCTTATATTGTGATGTAGGACACTGAAAAGTATCAAATATTTAATAAAACAATATAGTGTTATTTTTGATATTTTCAGATCTTCACATCTAACAGTAATGTTCACCAATAAAAAAAGTCACAATGACTTTGTAAAATTTGCTTTGTGAAATATATCTAGTATAATTTCATGCCTTCTAATGATTCTCTTTTGATATCTGCTCTACTGCTTACCTTCTCTCAAGTTAATTAATCTCTTATTACTTGCAACAACAAGTAGTGCCATTTAAATGAGAAGCATAATTCTGCTAATAGAAAGTATGGACATAATCAGAACATTTTAGCACTTGGAGAATTGATTTATGCAGATGTAGGCAAAATTGGGAATGAACATGCTGTTATCCTATTAAACCTCTTTAAGTGTATATATCATTAGAGTACAACATGGTGTATATCACTAAAGTTATAGTCGTATCAGAAGGAATGGACATCCTGATGATAGAACCTTGAACTTATTTCTGAGTAATGACAGTTAAATATTTGCAGTTCAAGAGTTTTCAGACTTTGTCCAGGCAGATTTGGAATGGGGGTAAGGAATCACAAGGGCAACAATGAAAATACAGTTGTGCAGCTTAGTGCTCATTGCTGTTTTTCAGTTAAGATTGGCAAATGAAAATAAACAAATGAAACAACTGCATGGATTTGTTGCAAAATGATTAAAGTTCAATCCAGAAAGTATTGTCTACTAGTATGATAAATAAATCTTATCTTAGAGATAGAAAGCTGAAAATAACATGCAAAAATTGGTAGAGGGGGATTTTATTGTAATTATAAAAATCATAGATATTTTGGTTCTTGCTGCGTTCAGAATTACAAAGTTAAACTATATTGTTTCTTGATTTCATATAGAAAAAAGTTCCAGTTAAACAATTTAATGTTTTAAAATAAAAATAAATAAATAAATAAAATTGCAGGTCAGGGACAGGTGGAAAGAAGATAGTTCTGTTTTATGGGTATTGTGCAGGAATTTGGATGCTCAGTTTTGTTTTAGAAGCTGTATACTAGAGTAGATAAAATGCTTATTTTAGAACATTTGTATTACAGTCTTAGGTTTATTAAGTTTAAACATAGATAAATTCCACTTACTTTGTTCAAATAATTTTTATTATTTAACATTTATATTAATACATTTTATTGTTTAGAGTGCAAATGAAATTTCACTGTATTCAGATTCCTGGTGTTCTTAGGCAGATGGTAATTGTCTTTAAATTGTATGCCAAAATGTTACAGATAAATGCTATTTTTTTCTCTTTCTTGTGTTGAAGAGAAAATCAGTATGAACCATTGGACTAGTATTATTTTTAAATGTTGAGGAAGCTGAGTAATTGATTGATAATATCTAAAGTGCCATTATAGCAGTATTAAAATATAAAGGGACTTTTTCAACAAAACTCTCTCTTTCACTCTTTTTTTTTTGTTGCAAGTAACATATTACACATTTTATGGTGAGGATGTATAAAATCTGTTGTTTTCCAAAATACCAGAATGGAGCATCTGGACCACATAAGTCTGGCCGTTGCTGTACACCGTGTTCCACATTAAATTGACTTTTTAGAGGCAAACCTCCCCTGGAAGATCATAAACAATTTCTAGTTGGAGGATTAATTTCTGGAAAAGCTGGTAGACAGTCCTGTAACATCCAGATCAGTGTTATCTGGAGGATAAACACAATGATCTTAACAACAGCAGACTTTCTAATGAATAGTCAGAAATTGTCAGCCTGTTAACTTGTATCTCTGAAAGAAGAGAATATTCTAAAGAACATTTAAACTAAATGGTTAAGACACTAGACAAGAAAGCAGGAGACTGTGACCTTAGGGTTGAAAACTGGCTGGGTAACTTTGGGCTAATGTCACTCTCTCTCTCTGCCAAACTCACCTCACAGGGTTGTTGTTGTGAGGAAAAAAGGCAGAACGCGTATTACATATGTTTGCTACCTTGAGTTATTTATAAAAATAATAAAAGTTCTTTTTTCTAAAAAATTAAATAAACATTGCCAGTGGTCCTTAATGATTGTAGCACATTTCGATCCCCCCAGCTGTCACCATGTGACTAAAATCTGAAGATAGCACTTTTAAAAATGTGTGCCCTTGCTGTGCAAAAATATTGCCAATTCCAGATAAATAAGCACAGACAGAAACATAGGAAAGAATTGTACAATAGTGGTGTTCGTATCAATGGTTTATGTTCACTTTTAAAAATGCAGCAGAAGGAAAAGAGCAGGACCAAAACTATTAGTTCACTATTGGTTGTTGTAAGAAAGAGATGACAGTATTTAACATGGGCTTCAGTTCTGCATTTGCTGGTCTATTTTTTTAAAAAAATTGACAGCCAGCAAAAAGAAACTTTTTGAAGTTTGGATAGAGAATTAGAAAAACATTTTCATGCATGGGTCTGCCTTATATAAAAGTGCCACTCTTTTCTGAAGTTTTAGATGTTTTGGTCTAAAGAATAGGTAAAGAATTTTTTGACAGGGACAATGAATCCTGAGGATTAAGCACAGTATCAGTGAGTGTGACAATGCACAAGGAACAGTCCTTCTCCAGTTAACTAAACAAACAAATAAAAAAAAAAAACCCTATACAAACGTTCTGGATGCCCTTCAAATTAATTGGGTTTATAAAAGTTACAATAACTGTTCTTTCCCCCAAGGGCCAAGAAATTGGCAACTCTTGGTCATTCTGAATAATAATAATAACACTCATCAACTTTTTCTTCATTTCTCCCCTCCCTGCTGGGCAAACAGTGACCTGTTAGAAAAGTGCAAAGTGAACTGCTCCCTAAATAGAAGCCATTTTAAGTCAACAAGAGCAAAGTTACGGGTTCTGCTGCAAATTAGGAAGCTTTGCTGGCATTTGCTGCTGCTGCTGCTGCTGAAAATGATCTGAAATCCTCTCCTGTGGTTCAAAGTAGATTGCCAGCTTCAAGTATAAGGTTATTTTAGTCTCAGATACAGGCTTGTCGCTGCAAGTTGCCAGGTTTCCTGTGGCCACCTCCTCTTGCTAAAGCCGGCCTTTTGCCTAGTATGGTGGGGAACATGTTTTTTATTTGTTTCCAGCTAACCTGCCTTGGTGCTGTTGTCAGCGCCTCTGCTTACTGAAAAGACTAGTTCTCTAGCACTTGAAAAAAGTGTTGCCTTCTCTGGAACAAAGAGGCAGGACTTGAGCATTCGAAGGAAGTGAATGGGATAGGTCAGGAGACTGTACCATTTCTGAACTCCCCTCTTCCTTTTATATTCATCTGTCAGATACAGTAGGCGTGCTCTGTGCCTGTCGAGCTCGCTCGATGCAAAGCAGGGGGAAAACAATCTAAAACGGAGCTGCTGGGACGAAGCTTGCTCCCCTCTCACCCCGATCTTTCTTTCCATTCCCTTCGCTCTCTCTTTGGATGCTATAAGAACTTGGGCTCTAGTTGGGGGCTATTTAAAAACTAACATGGTTTAATCCTCTAACTGCATGTTGGGTAAATTCAAAGCCCGCACATGGTCATCCTCTTGCAAGCGAATAAGTAGCATCCGATGGACATTTTCTCTGCTTACAGCATAGTAATGAATGTCTGACAGGCGCGACCTTTCATAAGACAGCCTACATTATTGGCTTTCTGCCCAGATTATTGCTGCAATCCTATCTGTGATTGGTTATCTCTCTATCATGCCTTGTTTCAGAGGGGAAAAACAGCCCCTTTTTAATAAATCTGTGATGGCTGGCTGCAATATGCTATACTGTAAGTATTTTATTGGAAACGGAAAAGAGTATCATGCTGTAAAGTAGTAGACTGAAGGAGCACATGGCAACGTGATTATGCTGTGAGACATCAGTGAAATGCTGCTTGGTAAATTTTAACCTATCTGTTTTTTCTACAGGTTGGTACTAAGAAGTGCCTTTCCTGACGTCTCTGCTGCTTGGAATCGCTTCTAGAGCAGTCTCTGCTTTTGCCTTGCTTGCTGCCAGCTAGACTGCGACGACACCACATCCACCCTCACCTCTCGCCCAGCCACCCCTCCCCTCTAAGCATCAGGCATTGCCCTAGGCTGCTTTAGTTAATCTTACAGAAATAAAAGTTTGCTGGAAAAGTGAGCAGTCTTCTGCCAGGAAAAGAAAGGGGGTAAAAAATCCAAGAGGAAAGGAAAAAAAGATCCACACCTGTTTCTTGATTTGTTGCTCTAAACTGCTGTATCTGTCTGTGCCAAACTAATCATTACCAATTGCACCACACCAAAAATTAAGAACAAATAATTATTGCAGATTCAGCTGTGTGTGGAGACAACTTTTCCTGAGAGCAGCTTGAAAAATTCTGTGTCCGAGGGTCTGCCACTTTTTTTTGCTGCTTGCGTTTGGGGCTCCAATTCGGCATTCAGAATGGGTTACTGAGAGCACAAGGGTAGTTCGAAGGCACACTTTTAAATGCTCCTCTTACTTTTGATCCTAGCATTTCTCTAAGTTTAACTCCCCCCCTCCCCTTTTGATTGACAGTTTCATGCTGTGACTTTCTAGAGGGAATATCTCTTCCTTGCTGTCGCAACAACACAATTTTACATCTTTTACCATTGGGCTCGGGAACTGGGGAAATATTTTGGAGGTGACATTTTTCATCATTTCCAATCTTATCAGTTTGGCCTTTTTTAATTTGTTCATTTCATTGACAATTTTAACTACCTGTAAAATCTAAACATGGCTGTAAGTGTCACACCAATCCGGGACACAAAATGGCTAACACTGGAAGTATGTCGAGAGTTCCAAAGAGGGACTTGCTCACGACCAGATACGGAATGTAAATTTGCACATCCATCAAAAAGCTGCCAAGTTGAAAATGGACGCGTAATCGCCTGCTTTGATTCATTGAAAGTGAGTAAATATTATCATTCTTTTTAAAGATTTTAAGGCAAAAGCAATAACTAGAACACTGATATTAGTCAAATTATTAAGTTTAATGTGATAGTTTCAGGTCATAAAAGCATCCAGATGTTTGCTTTTATGAAAGAGTATATGATGTAACAATTTTGTTTTAAGGCTGTAGGAAATTTGCAGAAAGATCAGTTTCTATCTTTTTGAAAATGCCCTTATTGTAGAATTACATTGTATTTTTGGTGGAATTTTAAAAGTTGTTTATTTGCTAATCTAGAAGAGGAATCGTGTTTAATCTGTGATAGTGCAAAACAAAAACAAACAACAAATAAACAAAGAGTCAGGTTGCATCTTAAATACTAATGAACTGACGGAAGGTGTGTGCTATTAGAGGCTGCAGCCGGCCTTCTCAAAGGGTCATGGTAGTACTATTTTGAAATCTCATGCTGCAGTAAATTTGTTAATCTTAGGGACAGCACAATTTTCTTCAAAAAGAAAAATGGAAAACTGGGCTCATACAGTGCTTTGTGTGTGCTGGATAAAAATGAAAAGTGGAAGTAATGTCTCTTAATAATTAGTTGCTCCTTAGTGCCATTATGTTTGGATTTCTGCTGTGTAAGAGGGTTGAAGTTCAAGATTTGAGAATACTTCCTTTCCTGAAATTGTGTAAGGTTTGAATATTTTAGTGATATTGTCAATGGAAGAATCATTTGTATAAAAGTTAGCTGGGAAGATCATGGACATTATATTATATAATATATAGTTAATGCACTATTCACTATTCCTTGTTTTTTCAATGGGAGAATAATTATTAAAATGTTTAAAGCTACTGTTTACAAATATGTTTCCACCTTTATTGGTTAGATGACAGTATTTTCCATCCCTGTTTTTTGACATTGGTATCCCAGAATTGTTTCATCCTGCTCTTGCAGACAGTGTTCATTTATGAGAGCATAAACTGCATTGGCTAACTGGATTTGGTTGAGAGACAGGACAGCCCTGTGTGTAATGATGTGGTTAATAATAAATGAATGATTCATGTAGCTCCTTTTCCACTGGTTGAATAATTTGCAAAGAACTGATACTTGTAATATATGAACATGCACTTAGATAGACTGGAAGAGAAATATGTGCTTTTGCTTGTTTTCATTAAAGTGAAATAGTACTACTATTACAACCACATGTTTGGACTTTGGAATTTTACTGCAATGGGGCAGGTTTTCAGCTCAACCTCATGTATGACTGGATTCATTTATATTGACTGGACAGTAGACATCCCCAGTTACACTAGGAAAAGCAAATTCTTTCATCTGTTTGCTTTAGCTAGGGGCTATAGTTGGGTGTGCTATGCTACCGGATAATGCTAAGCAAGATATATACATCTCTATTTTATATACATTGCCATTTTGGAATTATTCATACATAACAGATGATTTTATAGTTCATACGTTGTTGAAGTGCATTATAATTTTTAAACAGATTTAATGCCACAGTTTTAAAGTTTCTTTTTAAGTCAAACTCTGCAGTAGAACTAAATATCTTATTAGGACTGGACCTGCCCTTCCAAAAATGAAAATGTAATTTGTTTATTGCCAGTCCCTCTCCGGGCATTTTTTCCCCAAAACACCTTCAGTAATGTAAAAACCTGCTATTTTGTACCAGGTGAAAAACATTTGTAAATATAGTATTTATTTTACAACTTATTTCCAGTTCAGCTGAGATTCTTCAATGACTTATAATTGTCTTAAGAATTAACTGTAATGCAGAAATATGTGTGTGTGTACATATATATGTATGTATATATATATAGGGGAAGGAAGATCCCTTATATCAGGGGTCTTCAAACTCGGCTCTTTTATGACTCATGGACTTCAACTCCCAGAATTCCTCAACCAGGCATGCTGGCTGAGGAATTCTGGGAGTTGAAGTCCATGAGTCATAAAAGGGCCGCGTTTGAAGACCCCTGCCCTATATCATCTTCAAATGATAAATATTGTAAAATGTTTTGAAACTAATATAAATAAAAAAACTGTCATGTGATCATATAAAGAAACTGCTTGGTACCTGGTATGCCAGAAAATGGAGTGCTACCGGTACTACTGAAAAGAGCATTTAAGCTCTGAGTACTTGTTTCAGCTCAAAAAAGCACAAACTTCATGTTAATATTAAATAGGTTATAGGAGAAATGAGGAAAACAGGATCATTAAGAAGGAATGATGGGAGTTTCTGTTCTACAAAATCTGGAGAATCATGGATGCTCAGCTCTACTTTATTGGAAGGCCAACAAATATAGAATACTCAAATTAAAATTAACAATAACTTGGAAATAAATTGATTATTAATGAGGCTTTGAAAAATTCCAGAGTTTTATAGCCTGTCTGACTACTCTGCAGTGTAATGATGTTAATGTTTTAGTTTCTCTCATTCTCTAGTTAATTTCTAGTCCCATGTATATCACATTACAATAGTCAAACATTAAGATAATCAGAAAATATCTGTTTATATTGGTTAACCTCTTGGCTAGGAGGAAGTCTCTACTGAAATAACAGAAATTCTGTGGGATTTCCAAAGATAGGACCCAATTTAACAGCACTCTCAAACTTCCAAAATAAATCTTTCAGAAATCACCTACTTTGTATATGGATAGGAATATACAAAGTAATAAATAAGTTTATAAATATTTAGATAGGCTGAATGAAGCTTTTTGGCTATTTTTTAAAGGGCTCAAATAATCTGTCACCCTGAGAAGTTGCTGACAATCTTTCATTGTTGACTTTATTTTCATTTATTTTCGACTTCACCTGGGTCAATGTTGCCGACGTCCATGCCCCTTGCCTCGTCCACGACTTTCATGCCCGGTTCCCGCAACGTCCCAGTCTGCATGGTCCCAGGGAAGGGGCCTTGTGGGGGATAGTGTGGGGGAAGGGGCCTTGTGGGGGATAGTGGCGGAGCCTGAATCTGCTGAGGAAGGTGAGCTGGAACTGGAGCCAACGGAGATCGAGGGAGAGACATTGTTGGCTTTGGAGGAATATGGGGAGGAGCAGGCCAAGGCAGGCCAGGGCCTTTCAGGATTGAAGACAGGGAGGAACAGGGGCAGGATGAGCATGAAAGACAGAGCTCAGGTGATGAGCAAGGGCCACCCCTCCTGATCCTTGAGCATGGAGAGTAGAGAGAAGGAGGGAACAATGCAGGCAGGCACGGTTACTCGGGAGGAGAGCGCCCCACCCCTCTCCACAAGGCACACTTGGGGACTGAGACTTAAGGAGATGCTGTGGGGAGGGGCATTTGTCGGAAACAAATGCTGAATTATTGAAGGTTTGTGTGCTGTTGCTGACGTTGGAAACAACTCTCTGATCTCCTGTTCTGTGTTGTGATTTCTACTTGTAAACCCTGAAACTCTGACCATTAGACTGGCTGACAAACTTGATTTGGTGCTCCAAACCTCAGATTGAATTTTGGCTTCTCTTCTGAAACTACTCAGACAAGCTTGTATTCCCACAGACTCGTTAGATTTTGATGTATGCTCCTTTCTTTGTTTTCTACTTGGCCTTGAGTAAATTACTGTTCTAATCTAGCAACTGTGTGTGAGTTGAAACCTGAAAGAGGACTGCTTGTTCCATATACACACTTTTCCTGCCTGAGTGAAAAATGTTTGAAACTACTTGCAGCCAGAGGCTGCTGAAGGTGTGTGTGTGTGTGTGTGTGTGTGTGTGTGTGTGTGTGTGTTGTTACTTACTTTGGGACTTGCCAGATAGTGGGAGCGTTTGAGGAATAATTGGAGCAATAAAGGGGCAGTTTGAACTGTCAGCTGACTATGTTGCATCTGTGCCGTGCCTTGAGTCATCACACTCACCTTGTTGTGTTACTGCCGCATCACCAGCCGTCCCATTAAAGTGAATGGGACTATTGGTGAGTCAACAGCGGGTCAGAGGAGGAGCTGCTGAGGGACAGAGATGATAGTTACTCTTTAAAAATTATGATTTAAATCGAGTTGATTTAAATCAAGCCTTTTTACTAGTGATTTAAATCAAATCCACCCTGACTGAAATTATGTATGTTATGGTGTCCTTATGCTAATCCTAACATTTATGTACTTGTTTCTGACATTATGATGTCATGAGGCATGTTTTGTCATTTTTTTCCCATTATCATGATTATGTCTGGATGCCTATGCATTAAAACATCACTTTTCCTACCATAGACTACCCATATTTATCATAGATGAGTGCACTTGTAGTCAAATAATTGAACTTTTTTTTATGGATGTCTTCACTATCATTTCCTCCTTTTTTGGAATTATTATAAGACTCAGCTGTCTTAATGTGCCTGTGCAAGCAATGAATTTACTTATGGAAAGAACTTCCAGTTTTTGTATTAGTATGCCATTACCACAAGCATGCAGATGTATAAGAAAAGTGATCTTCAGTAATCAATGCTAAAGACATAATTCTAGGATGCAGAGGTTGGTGAAATTAAAAATTGATGAGAAGCATATAGTAATGTAGAGCTTTTATTCTTTTTATTGATTCAGTAGTGTTTTATCATTTTCAGTTTCCCTAAATAATTTTGTAAATAACTTTTCTATAATATGAGGTATATATATATATTAAAA